TGTTTACAGTTCAGCTGTTTGTTGGTTTGATTGACAGATTATTTGAGTTGTTTACAGTTCAGCTGTTTGTTGGTTTGATTGACAGATTATTTGAGTTGTTTACGGTTCAGCTGTTTGTGTCCAGGATGCTGGACTCATGTTGGACACCAGCAGGGCTGTCATGGTGAACGCTGCGTCCTGGAAACAGCCACATCTTCTCAGATTCAGAGAACCAACTACCAGTTCTGCTGCTGCAGCCACCACCTCTGCAACGCCAATTACACTGAGGCTCCGCCCACTGCAGAAACACCTGCACCCGGGCACATGATGAAAGATGACCAGAACAGCAGACACACAGGTGAGCTGAGGACGGGTGTTATAGAGAACAGGTGTTACAGAGGACAGGTGTTATAGAGAACAGGTGTTACAGAGGACAGGTGTTACAGAGGACAGATGTTACAGAGGACAGGTGTTAAAGAAAACAGGTGTTACAGAGGACAGGTGTTACAGAGAACAGGTGTTACAGTGAACAGGTGTTACAGAGGACAGGTGTTATAGAGAACAGGTGTTACAGAGGACAGGTGTTACAGAGGACAGGTGTTAAAGAGAACAGGTGTTAAATAGGACAGTTGTTACAGAGGACAGGTGTTACAGAGGACAGGTTTTACAGAGAACAGGTGTTACAGAGGACAGGTGTTAAAGAGAACAGGTGTTACAGAGGATAAATGTAACAGAGAACAGGTGTTACAGAGAACAGGTGTTCCAGAGGACAGGTGTTACAGAGAACAGGTGTTACAGAGAACAGGTGTTACAGAGGACAGGTGTTACAGAGGACAGGTGTTACAGAGGACAGGTGTTACAGAGGACAGGTGTTACAGAGGACAGGTTTTACAGAGAACAGGTGTTACAGAGGACTAGCTTAGACCTAGGTGGTATCCAGTCCAGATAAAGGTTCCTCACAGAGCTCCAGGTAAACTGATTCCAACCAATCCTTCTGTCCACAGATCACTGGTTGACCCAAAAGGAGACGGTGCTCGTCGCCCTGGTAACCGTTTCTATGGCAGCCATTTTCATCATGGTGTTGTTCCTGGCATACAGAGTGATCAAAAGTAAACACCAGTTTATTTTTTTCATTTTCACCTGCAAACAGCTGAGATGTTGCTTAAAAACTGGAAGTGACTCTGTGACACAGTTTGTTGTGTTTAATTAGTTTCTACAACATAAAGGTTGAACAGAAGATTCCAGGAATTAGACAGATCCCAGCAGCAGAAACTGTTTTTATCGATGAGACAGTGGAGCAGCACCAGGACAGAACCTGTTAACTTAAATATATATAAATATAAATATGTTATCTGGTTCTGTAGACCCTGAATAAAATTAATAACAGTTTGTTGTCTGAACTCAGGGAAACAAAAACTCAGTCTGTCTGCTGTTGATGGGATGGAGACAGGAAACATCAACTCTGCAGTGGACTTCAACGACCTCAAACTGCTGGAGGTACTCTTACGTTTGTTCTTCTATCCTAATGAGGACTATGCATTGACTTTCCATTCATTTACTGGTAACTTCTATAGCCTTAACCTAACCCAGTGTATACCTGACCCTAAACCTAACCCAGTATATACCTGACCCTAAACCTAAACCAGTATATACCTGACCCTAAACCTAAACCAGTGTATACCTGACCCTAAACCTAACCCAGTATATACCT